TGGTCACGTATTATTTCGAAGTCACAGATTTTTAAAAAGTCACGTATTATTATATTTTTAGGTCACATTTTGAGTAATTGGTCACAAATATTAACAAACCATATTTTAAAATTACAGGTCACGATTTATCTATTGGTCACAGATTTCAAGATTTGTTAGTCACAATTTACTTGTCAAGTCACAGGCTATCAAATTTTAAATTCACATTTTAATCTTGGTCACAAATAACTAAGTAATTGGTCAAGTGGTCACACACCACCGCCACCATCTTCACAGTCGAGAGATCCACCACCATCTCCGTCACTGTTGCCACCACCATCGACACTACATCACCACCACCAACAAATCATCATTTGCAACTACAAACCACCACTGCTACTATCAAATACACTGCCGATTCAACAAAAATCACCCAAAAGTCAGATCCACCACCTCTGCGCCACCATCAACAAAAATTTCAGCAGATCCGCCCCATACCCGCAGATCTGCGGCCTCTCGGATTCCGTCAACATCGATCCGCACAAACCACTGCCGAGCCACACACCCATTTCACTGTAATTTCGTCGTCCACCGACTCAGCAGCAATTTCGTCGTCCAGGCAAACGCTGTAATTTCGTCGTCCAAACGACTCACTGTAATTTCGTCGTCCACCGGCTCAGCCAAACACTGCTGACTCGCAGCTGCGTCGCAGACACTGCTGACTCACAGCCGCTGAACGCAGCGTCGCGCTGCTGCGATGCTGGCAATAGCGTTGCTGCGATGCGATGCGATGCGATGCTGACAGCAGCTGCTGAACATGAGGGGGAAGGGGAGAGAGGAGGAGAAAGAAAAATAACTAGGGTTTGGGAATAAATTAGGGTTATAAATTAGGTTTTAATATAATACCTGATTTTTGAATAAAAAAATTATTGACCTGATTTTTAAAAAATAATCTTTAAACATCTGATTTTTTTATAATTTCCTTAACATAAATCACGTTTACTTGAAAAATATTCATAGTCTCCTATCTCTCTTCGTCAATTGCATAGTATTTTCTCTCAATCCCTTAATTAGTTTCACCATCTATTGTTCATTAAATTCAGAAAATCCATCAAATTGCTCCAATTTTCAAACCCTAGCCTTTAAGGTAAGTCAGGTGCTCATTTTCAATTCATTATTTTTGGCCTAATATGCAACATTTTTTTTATTGAATTTTCGAATCTCTCAATTTTGAATTAGAATGAAACTCTAGTGACTAGATTGAGACAAAATAAACTTTAGTGATCAACTTGAAATTTACCCAAAACTTTAATGACCAAAAGTGCATTTTACCCGTTTGGGCACCCCCCGTCCCTTAAAAATGTTTTTGCTGTCCTCTTCCTCATTTTCTTCCTTCTCACTGCACTGGGTTTTGCAATTTCTTCTTCCTGTTATCGCTGTATTGTGAATCCTTTGTACTATTCGCAGTATTAGTAATTCCAAATCAGGTAAGTGATTTAAATTTTTGTTCGCTCTTATACTTGCTGTTCTATGACTGTCTTTTTAACCGTGTTCATAAATTGCATTTGTGTGTGATTCTTTCTTCTTCTAATTGGTATATTATTGAATTTATCATCATGATATAGTTAATGTGTTGTGCGTTCTTACCCCTTTTCTGCTTCGCATTGGATCTCTTAATGATGCGTTTCAATTTAAAGATAATTAGGGTTTTCCAATCTAATTGAAACTTGTTTTCTTAATTACATATTAAATGTTAAGTGTACTATTTAGTTCTAGTGATTGTATTTATTTATTCCCTTTAGATTGAAGACTAGTAAGAAGATTTAAAGATAAGTGAGAATTATCATTTCATGTTTTACAAGAAAGATCACACACATTCCTTGATCTGATTCTCTATTCAATTCATCCTTATCCCTATACGAGTTGATGTAATTAAATAATGATCATAGGTCAGAGAACTGTCACCTTCCTAAACTCCAGATGTAAATTGCTGCTGTAATCCCACATATTCAGCATACATCAAGGGGATTAACGACTCATTCCTTTTTATGCAAACTGATGGATAATGGCACATTCCTATAGTGCGTAAATTGATTGATGGCTAAGGGCTCTTTCCTTCTTTTGCAAACTGCCGAGGGCTCTTTCCTTCTTTCGGGTTACATTATTCATGCAGTACTTAATTTTGTGTTGATTATGCAGATTTGACATGATTTATATTGGCCGTGACTTACTCATAAACCATAAAGCTATTTTTTAATGTTCCAAAATTATATTATGGTTCTAATAATTCACATAACACGAGGCTGTATTTGACAGTCCTTGTATAAGATTGACTGATAGTACAATGGTAATGTTCTACCGTGATTATCAAGGGGCAAACTCATCTTTGATTTCAGGGAGACCCAATGTCTCGAGTTGAATAGTTTGGAGGGATTTGGTGTGTTTTACTCTAATATGTTTAGAATGTCGAACGATGAGTGTTTTAGTCTCTATTATATTCAGAGTACGTTGGGTTAACCTGAGCTTTTTGACCTTTTGCTTTTCTATCAATACAGTGAAAAATGGCAGATTTGAGGACATGGGTTTCAGATAAACTGATGTCTCTTTTGGGGTATTCTCAACCAACCGTTGTTCAATATGTGATAACACTATGTAAGCTTTCGTTAAGGAATACCTGTATTACGTACAATGCTTCTTATGGGTATGTGGCAGCTACTGACATACACGTATTTTCGTTGGAATTTTTTATTTTTATTTTCTTCTCTATCTTAATGAAGCTAAAAAAGCTTCATCGCCTTCTGAGATTGTCAATCAACTGATAGATCTGGGAATCTCATCTTCGGATCAAACACGTATGTTTGCCCAAGAAATTTTCACTAGAGTTGAGCATAAGACTTCCGGACCAAATGTTAGTGTTTGTTGGAATTCTAGTATTTCAAATTCATATTAATAGATATCATTATTTTTAAATATATATTACTATTCTATCCTTAAATTGTTATTTATGCTGGATTGGTATAGCTATATCAACGACAAGAAAGGGAAGCGACGATGCTGGTGCGAAAGCAGAAGACTTACACACTTTTGGAGGACGATGATGACAATGAAGATACTGTGTCAGTGGCTTCCCAGCCAAAAAATGAGGACTCTCGTAATAAAAAGTTTAGGAAGAGGAGTGAAACTCAGAATGACTCAGATAACGAGGCATATACCTTCTACTCTTACTGCTAGAGTTTGGTTTTGTTTTCTTATGGTAAGCTTTTTCATTAGTGCTGCTTGTATTAACAAGATACTTTGTTTTGATTGAATGTGATTATGCAGGTAGTAGGAAACGGTGAAGAAGAAAGGCGAGTAAAAAGACGAACTTCTGAGGATGAAGATGATGCATCTGAGGTACTTGTATCTTTTTATGTTTTCGTTTTTGAAGAAAGCTATTTATTTCATTAATTTTTACACAAAGAAGTTCCAAGGTATGTTGCACGACTCTTGTCAGGTGTTGAGTTTGAACATGCATTCGCGGGCCTTCACATCTCTGAATTTGAGGATTCATACACATGGAAAAGTACTCAAATTTTTTTAGTTGTCATATTGTTGAGTATGGGCCGAAGTAATAGGTAAAAAAATTCAAAAATGGAAACTAATGATATTTTAAAGTAATATATCCATGCAAATAATCAGACAGATAACCATTGCATTCTCCGAATGGTACTTCTATATTTGAAGGGTCCACTGCATTGTTGGTCCTGACATGGTGCACTGCATTTATTAGCCATGGTACAGAATGTGCTTTATGAATTTTTTCTCCTTTTTTTTGGCTGCCATTTCAATTTTATTGTTCTTTTCTCTTGCTGTTAGCTCCATAGTTCAATGATTTTTGTGCTAATTCATTTGGCTGCAGTCAGAGGAAGAAATACTGCGTGACCAGAGAGAAAAGGAGGAGTTAGAGAAGAACATCAGACAACGTGATGCAGCTGGGACCAAGAAGGTAAAGAAAATTTGATGAGCTGAACTTTTATTTGTTCAGTAGATATGCTACTGAGTGGTCCCTATTGAAGATTTCCCAATTTTTCAATTGGCCTGGAGATTGACTCCCTCCGTAGTACTCGTGCTCATAGTCCAGTTATCATGTTCAGATCACGCATTACTCTGTTATGTTATGTTCATGGGTTACTTAATCAAACGTATCATGCTTCTAACTTTTAAGTTTATAAGATTGGCTGTGTAGTTCCACACGTCAGCTCTGTTCAATTTGCATATTGAAAACTTGCATTGCTCTTTTATATGTAGGGGTTATTTATATTAACCTGTGAACATATTCTTAAATTTGTACAATTCGATTATGGTGTTTCCGTAGTTGCCAGGTCACTGGTTTAACATTATCAACCCATTTTGCACCAGTTTTTTTGTTGTCTATCAAGTGTATTGTTTAACATTAACAATCCTGTATGTTTCAACTATGGTTCCAATTGTCTGTGTGCTGTCAGAAAACATAAAGAAAATGTTTATTGTCTTTCCCTTTGGATCTTATATGCTTGTTGATTGTTAAGCTTATTGAGAATTTATACGAAGAAGTCAAATCTTTTAATCCTTGGTGCCTGGTGTTAAATATACTAGTGGAACATCTTCTTAACTAATCTTCTCTTGCTTTCTATATACCCATGTCTAATTTTCATTATAATACTTTGCTTCCTATAATACTATGATCGTGATAATGGTGCCTTTTGAGATTTTCTGACTTCAATTTTTCCAAAGGAGCTACCATCTGTTTGTATTTGTCTAACTTTTTGTACACGTCTTTGTCTTTTTACAGTTGATTGAGCCGAAGTTAACTAAGAATCAGGAAGGTAAAAGATCGTCATCGTGTTTTATAGTTTTTTGTTCTCATAGCTTGCATATCTCAATGCATAGTCATACTTTTCCCTATTTTTTTAAAATGTCTCTCGTATTTCTTCATTGTTTTTCTGTTGGTTTGTTACATTAACCTTTCCATGTCAAATTAATTAATTAACCGATTTTTACCCAAGTGTCAGAAATACCTTTGCCTGCCTTGTCACCTAATACATCATCACATAACATTCCTGTTCATCAACTTTTCATACTTTTACAGCCCAAGCTGTGCTGATATCTTAAATATTGATGTCTGTATAATGCTTGAAATTATTATCTTGATAAGCAGATCTCATTTTATATTTTGTATTTTTGGCTAGTGTATGAATTCAATTGTTAAAAAAGGCTTGATTGGGGGTAATTAGGAGTTTGATCTCCTTGTGTAAACCACCTCGACAAAATCTAATGAACAATTCCAAAAGTTATTAAAAAATACAAAATATTATCGCAATAAACCATAATACATCTTAAAAATCTACGATAAAACCAGTTAACAATGTTATACATTAAAACTAAATTGGAACAAACATATATTAAATCAATGAAGTAGTAAACATGAAACTAAAAATACGAAGTCTCCCATAAGATCATTAGCATTTTTATTTTTGTTTCATCATTCTTGGTACTATCAATTTCTTTCCCTTCTCTTTCGTCTTTCTCCACTTGCAACGATGCTTTCCTTTTCCCATTGTTTGTAATTGGTGTAAAAAAGTAGAGAAAAGACAACAAATATATATATAAAGAAAATGAAGAAAAGAGTGAAGTTATATGTGGTAGCTCTTTTGTCACTGGCGTTTGCTACTGAAAAATTGCAATTTCACTTGGGAAAGTTGTTTATATCACTTAAACCGTAGGAATCTAGTGCGTTCTTGCTTCATTTACTCTGTTCTCCAATCCCCCCCCCGGTTCCAAGTTTTTAGGATTGGGTAGTGTCCAGAATAACCCTTTAAACGTTGCAGCCTAACAAAAACCATATGAGAAAGTAGATACCAGTAATAAAAGCCGAAAAACGTGGAAGACAAATTAGAGCACACCTCAGCCACCCCAAGTTTCACGGGTTATCTTTTTTCTTAGCACAGAAAGGGACACCTTGCGGCAGTAGTCTGCTCCGCTAGACTACCTTCCGCCTTCTCTCGGTCGTTTCAGGACGAAAGTAAATTTGATCACAATTTAAAGAAAGCTTACAATATGAAATTGAAATGCATTGAAATAAACTTGATCATTGATTGCTTGAAAGATGAACATTACAATAGATGAAAGCAGAAAATTACAATGGCTTGTGCAGGGGGCAAACACTAGAAAGCTTGAAAGATATTTGAAAGACTAATACCCCCTATAATAGACTTAGCAACAAAAATCCAAATGACGGGAGTAGACGTTTAAAAGCCGAGGAATCATACAAAACTTTTCTAATTTTCAACTATTTTACAATTAAATAAAATATTTACAATGCGCGGCCGAAGTTGGGCAAACTGCGGCTGCGATAGGGTCATGGGGCTTAAGTAAAGCTGCAGTCCGTGACACCAAGGCTTATACCTTGCGCGTGCACCTCACTAAGTCTAGGCATAAGCTTTGATAGATGGCACTAACAGTAAGCTTTTCAAGATGCTTAAGAAGTCTTCATATGAGGTGTGCCACAATGTATCTGCTTCGTCTGCTTTTTAATTCATTATCTATTGACTTATTTGTTATGGTGCATCTGTTGACTTACAGAGGAGGCAATCCGGAGATCTAATGCTTTGGAGGAAGATGATATGGAAACTTTAAGGTTTGTCACTGCATTTTCTGATCAATTTTTTTAACCAATTATCTCTATTATTTGAAATTCACTACCTTTTTTCTGTAGCTTTTCAATGCCATTTTTTCTTTCTTTTGAATTACCATCAGAGTCATAAATAAGTGATTTATTGTGGACATGGACAAGGACAGATGGGTTAAGTTCACTGTGCTTGACAAAGTAAAAGGTGTTTAAGATAAGTTGATGAAATTGACATTGTTGGCTGGACAAACTACTTCTTAACATGTTTGCTTGGTACACAATTGGACTTAATGAGAGATGGGATGGGTGGTGGTATAAGAAAGAAAGGCAGTACACGATCAGTCTATGAAAACAGATCTTTGTGCTTTCAGATGGATGGAGACCAGTGATTTGGATTGGAAACTGCTGCAAACCAAATTATTAATTACTTATAAGTGGTTGTGGGTCGATGTTTGTGGAAATAAGTTGAGGCACAGAATTGGTTGTGTTGGGTAAAAGTCTGCTAGTGTCACGTGTCTGTCTTATAACAAATGTTTTCTATTATATAAAGCAAAAGGAAATTGTACTTATTTTGATTTATTGATGTCTCAATTGGCTTCGACGTAGGTATTATCTGGGTCTCATGCCTGTCAAAAATTTTCTAATTTCCACTTCACCTGGGTTTTAGGAAGGCAAAAAATTTTAAACTAGTGATGTATACAGGAGGGGTGATAACTGTTGACTGTATCTGATTCTTGATGCAGATTTTGTTCCCCCTTATTATCGTTGTAGATTTTTATTCAAAGGTGCCAAAATGTAGTATTTCATTTAGACAAATCCACTCTGCTTTCTTCTTAGATTAAATATTTGATTGTTGCTATGCTATTTACTGAAGCTCATGCCTGTTTCCTTCTTTTCAATATCAGGAAAGTTTCAAGGCAAGAGTATTTGAAGAAGAGGGAGCAAAAGAAATTAGAGGAACTCAGGTATTACAACTATATATATTTTGTTTATACAGCGAAATAATAAATGTCGTTATTTTAATGTATTCCTCTATGTGTATTCTTTGGTTTATGAATCACGTTTTTCGTATCTTAGAGATGATATTGAAGACGAGCAATACTTATTTGACGGCGTGAAGCTTACTGAAGCTGAATATCGTGAGCTAAGGTAAAGTAAATCTTTTGTCATCATATAACTATAAGTTAGCAGGTTAGTTATTATTGGTACTTCATAGTTTTTACAATCAGCATTTACTTTTTATTACCTTTGCTATGCTAGAAAGCTGCAACTTGTACTAATTTAACATATTAGTACGATCACGAAAAAACATGGTAGTTTTGTAGTCAAACAGTCTACTTTAATCATGATTTTTTTTTTCCTAAAATAGTCATATTTATAAAATTCCCTACTCGACTTCTGCTTTTGTTGAGATAAACTCTGTGTCCTGTTACATCGTTTATCTGGATGGTAAAGCATCAGATTCTATGTACTTCAAATATTTGACCTCTATGGTTTCTTATTTTAAACCAAATGTGAAATCATGTTAGTACCTCAGATTTTAATTATGGCTGCCTAAATTTGGAAAAATGAGCTTAATAAGTTGTTTTGGAAAACATTGGGGCACCTGACTTTTTACTTGATTTTGAAGAACTTATAAGAACTTCTAATTAGTCAAACAAATTCATCTATTCAGGTTTTTCTAAATCTGAACCTTTATTGGTTGGCAGAGTTTTCAATTGAATTTAGTACCGTCTTTTGGGTGCTAATAAATGTATAGTTCTCACACAACATTATATAAGTGGGATAGCCCACCATAACTAACTCTGGATTATGCTAATTTCCTCTCTCTCTCTCTCTCTCTCACTATTTGTGTAAGAGGGATGGAGAAACGATCGATAATTTGTTCATTCATTGTGACGGTATTCGTTGGATATTGAATGATATTCTGGTTTCGCAACATATGAGTTGGGTGTTGTCAAGGCGTATCAAAGAGGTGGTGTGGGCATGGAAGTGAAAGTTTCGAGATAAGAATAGCAAGCTTGTTTGGGATCTCATTGCAGGATGCATCGATTGGTGTGTGTGAAGAGAAAGAAACGACAGATGCTTTGAAGACCAAATATGGACGACAGGGCACTTTAGAGAATTGTTTTACTTGACTTTGTATAGTTGGTTTAAGGCTGCAACCATTAGTCCGATAGAAGGGTTGCCGAATTTTTATCGTTTCTATCTTGTTTAAATTGATAATGCACTCCTTGTGTATTATCTTTTGTTTTTTATTTATAAAATTACGTGATTACCTATCAAAAGAAAAAAAACTTTCTCATCTTAGCTACTCAAGTTTTCCCAGGTTTTATTTAATAGAGATTTTTTTTTTCTATATAACATCACTAATCGCATAGCAAGCTAATGGTATTTTTCTTAAATCTGACTAAATCCTTAGGCCTAAATCAGGAGATAAACTCTTGATGTTGCCTCTACACATTTGCCTCTGCCTCTAAAGAAACCTCTTCAGTTCTTTTATTTGTTTTTAATAGTGCCGTTAAAGTGGATACTATATGCAGGTATGAACTTGTTTCCACACTGTAGTTGCGTCACATCTGGTTTAGTTAAAATATGCCTCCACCCTCCGAGACTGTTGTTAGTTAGTCTAATTTCGATTTCAAGAGCTCACCTCTTACTAACGGCGACTGGTAATATTTTAGTGGAGGTTTTACTCGGTACAGATTGCTAATTGTATTAGTTTATTCGCTTGTGTGTTGATTTTGAAGAGTTCATTTCTGGAGCTGCTTCCATGTTATCTGAATTAATGAAATCATTATTGTTTTTACTTTTTACGATGAAATATTAAGAAGGGCATTCCATGCATATATCATATACATCAAGGAAAGTGTAAAGGACTTATCAAAAACATCTTATTTTGTCAGTTACAAGAAAGAGATATATGAGCTTGTCAAGAAGCGGACAGAAGAGTCTGATTATACAAATGAGGTGATTAACTTTCTTATCATTGTATTGTAAGTTTTCTTCTTATTGTCCTCTCTCCTCTGAACAGTAACTCTATTGTTTCTAGTGGTTTTTGTCACATGCCTCATAAACTGGATATATACCTGCAAATATGTAGCCAGTTGTATAATATGAACCTGTGCAGAAGTACTCTTCCTCTTCTTTTCATTGATTTATTGTCCTAATGGTACTACTTATGAAATAAAGACCGTTCCCGAAATTTTTGAGGACACTTCTAGATTTGAGTCTAAGATATGCCAGGGCCATTTTTTTTTCTAAGCTTACTTATTCGTCCAACTTTCCCTGTCTTTCAAATTGTGGTGTTTGATGCTTGGACATGGATGAAGGTGCTTTTATTACTCTGCCACGGGGATTAGATGTTGCCTTCAAATTTTCTTTCAGAAAGGCATGGTTCTTGAAGGAGCAACTTATTTTGTTTAAAAGGAATAGGGAAAAACAAGGAGCTGACCGGGAGTAATATAGTCCTGGTTATCCTAGTGTGTTCTTCCCTCTTTCTGTTGGCCTGGTTCCTACTGATTACTGAATCTATTTGTTGATCCCTTTTGTCGAGTACAGTATAGGATGCCTGAAGCTTATGATGTAGAAGGCGGCATTAATCAAGAGAAGAGATTCGCAGTGGCAATGCAGCGTTATAGGTTAGTTACATTCTTAAGACACGGTGCAATAGATGCTTACAACTACTGCTAACATACACACATGAATCCGTACAAGCATGTGTGCAGTCAGAGACTCCAGTTGCACTAGTGATTTGATAGTTATATGATTTACTACTTTGCCTCTTCCAGGGATACAAGTGCAGGGGACAAGATGAATCCATTTGCAGAACAAGAAGCATGGGAAGATCATCAGATTGGTAATTCTTTTTTGTTCATTTTGGCACTCAGTTTTGAATGGTAAACCTTGAGTTTTAAGCAACTATTATTCTATTGCAGGAAAAGCAACTCTTAATTATGGGTCTAAAGATAGGAAGCTGAAGTCTGATGATTATCAGTGAGTTTTAAAGTTGATTGCTTACTCTATCCGTAAGTTTTAGGTAATCCGTGGATGCTAGTTCTTTAATTGCTTTCCTTTTTCTTTGTGAAGGTTTGTGTTTGAAGACCAAATAGAGTTCATAAAGGCAGCAGTTATGGATGGTGTTAATGTAAGTATATAAAACTTAATATATAATATTATAATATGTTAGGTAGTCATTATCCCTCTTTTAAAATGATTTATCTTTGGTATGCAGGTTGACCAAGAGTCATCTATTGCGTCACCAGACTCATCATCTGCCAAAACAGCATTTGAAAAACTTCAGGTGTGTACTTATGAGCCTCCTTGTATGTGGAAGGCCAAGTTGATTTGTAAACCTGCACTAGAAGACATGTTTTTTTAGGAATATGGTATATATGATTCAACATGCCAACTATTTATTTGTAAACCTGCACTTGAAGACATGTTTTTTTAGGAATATGGTATATATGATTCATCATGCCAACTATTAAACAACTTATTTGAAATACAAGACAGCTAATTCGAATTGTCACGAAATTCCATTGGTAGCTAAATTGAAGGATGCAAAAGACGATTGCTTGCAGAAAATAGCTGATTGAAAGCAATTAACATATATGATAAATTGAACTTTAATTGATAAAGTATCTTTTGGAAACTATTTTATTCTTTTGATGTTTATCTAATGGGTAGGATTTGGTGTACCTTATGCTTGATCTGTCGATATTATCCAAAGATATATTGAGATTTGATAGCGAAAGTGAAAGAAGTCTCAGTTTTTGATAACGATCTGGGAAACACACATTATGGATGCTCTTTGGTTAATTAGCTTAGATGATAAGATTCACTTAGCAATACACCCCAGAAAAGATAATTCTAAAAAATGTTTTGCATGATAATGAACTTCAAGAGTGGTTAGGATTCTGTTACTCTATAGCTCTTTGACACGAAAATGAGGGATAATAGAAAGTGTATTGATAACTCGGTTTATTTTCTTTTGATTATTTCCTCAAGAAGCATGTAGAACTTATTAAGTAAAGTTGGAAATTCATTCAAGTGGACATCTTGAAAGTGGTTGGAGTTTGGTATCTGATTGATGTAGCACTAAATATCTCTGACCTTTTTGATGGTCCTATTTCAGCAAGACAGAAAAACCCTACCAATTTTTCCCTATAGGGATCAGTTGCTGCAAGCTATTCATGATCATCAGGTTCCTTGATCTCTTTTCCACTCTTGTTAACATATGTCTAATCAATTTACTCTACAATTCCTGATAATTATTTGATTGGTGATGAATACAGGTTCTTGTTATTGTTGGAGAGACGGGTTCTGGAAAGACTACTCAGATACCTCAGTACCTTCACGAGGCAGGGTACACTAATCGTGGAAAGGTACAAGGGTTTTCCCTTCCTACTTTTTGTTTTGACAGATAACATAAAAAAAATATTGCTTCTACAATATTTTAGTACAGTGGTTATTTATTTAAAAAGAATTTAGCAGATAATTTTTCATTTATTTTATTATTATTATTATTATTATTATTATTATTTGCATTAATTTGTCTTTTTATGCTGTCCATTCTCATGGAATTACGTAGAGAAAATTATGTACCTTGGTCAATAGAATTGCTCAGATGTTATAGGACAAAGTGCTTTGGTCCCATATCCATTGGCCAAATTAAAGAAAATGATTTGCCAAAGGAATGATTTAAAATGTCATATAAATTTGTTGTTTCTGGGACTCATAATTTTGCCAGAATGAATGATTTGAAATGTTCTGTATATGCGTTTCTGGGCTTAGAATGGCTTGTAAATAATCCTATATTTAATTACTTGCCATGTTTTATGTTCAATTTTGGCTTTCCTAAACTGCTCACTGGTGCCCACCTTTTTTCCTTAGTTGTTACCTTGACATGTTAAATTTGTAGCAGCAATGTGTTTCTGTTTATTAATATTAAATGATATGCTGCATAGTGCACCATGTTTATTTGAAGAACTGAATATAGTTTTTACATGTACATAATTCAAATAATGTTTGTATTACAGTATAAGCATAGAATAGCACTTACTCCATTTTTTTTCTTTGGCAATAATACTCGACATTGGACCCTGAGTATTCATTTCAGCAAACTGTAGTCTGAATAAGTATGCTGAAGAAATTGTTACTCAAGAAAGTGTATTTTGGACGAGGGATGTTTTCTTGGGCCTTCCTACGTGGAAATTTGTGTTTCCCCATTTTGGGCAGGCAGTAGTTTTACATAATCGTATTCCTAAAATCTATAAGAAATAATAACTCTTGATATAGTAAGTTTTGGGGATCATATGATTAGTTAACTATTATATTTCATATACCTAAGCAGATTAGTTTTGTGAATCGTAGCCTACTCTTGAATCATGTTTACAGTTGATGGAATGACAATCGATGCATCTCCCACTTACACAACATTCTTTCTAGTAAATGTAAAAAAAAAGTTGGGAGTTCTATAACCTACAGCTATTCTGAAGTAAATGGAACTTTCATCGTGACAGATTGGTTGTACCCAGCCACGTCGCGTAGCTGCTATGAGCGTTGCTGCTCGAGTTTCTCAGGAAATGGGTGTTAAACTTGGACATGAGGTTTGCTTTCTGCATTTACCATATAGCTGTTTTAGGTGGTTTTTGATGCCTGTTTATTGATAATTATCTGGTTAATTGACCGAAATGCTTCCATCAAACTGCCATTGCCAAAACATTTTGCCTTTAGCTATAGAAACTGCAAACCCAAAGGCACTTATTTCAATGAGTAGCATCTGCAGTTTACTCACATGCATTGATTATGATGTTGCTTTTTGAATGTCTTGAAATGCTTTAATATAGGATTTGCATGATTCTGTAATATATTTTTGCTAGGTTAAAAAATTGCTCTGTCATTGAAATTATAGGCATGCTCGCAAATGGTCCGTGAACATTAAAAGTTCAATGTCTACTCACTAATGTTTACAATGTTTTCCTCGTTAGTCACTCAAATCGATTCAGCAAGTACAAACCAACATTGACGTTGATTTGGCTCGCTGAATGCTTATATGGTGTGACAGTGGGCATCAATTGTCCGATTCAAGGTTATTTTTATGAACAAAGTGGTTTTTAGTTCAGTAATATCTTTTTTTTTTTTTGTTTGGTCATTTAAATTCTGCTTGATCATAGGTGGTTTGTAGGGAGCAAACAATGGTTTTTTTTATTGGATACGGTCACACCTTATGCTCAGTATTAGCCAAATCAGCCTCGCCATTAGTGTCTGTGGATGGAATTGATTTCAATGACTAACGTGGTAAAGATTATAAAGTTCAGTGACTAAAATTGACATTTAAAGTGAAAGGACCATTTGTGAGCATGCCTTTAAGTTTAGGGAAGAACCAGGTTTGTAACCCTATTTAGCTCAAACAATTTTTTGGTTTCATTCGATTTGTTGCCTTGGTCATAGTACGTTATGTGGGGTTTACTTGCAATAATGCTGTTGATATCAGGTTTTTTGCTGCCAGACATGCTGTGGTAACCGCTATCATTTCTTCTTTCAGGTTGGCTACTCCATTCGTTTTGAAGACTGCACTTCTGAAAAAACAGTTTTGAAATATATGACAGATGGAATGTTATTGAGGGAATTTCTTGGTGAACCAGATCTTGCAAGTTACAGGTTTGTGCCAGATTTTACAAGTGAAAATGCTACAATTTCGTGAATGAGTTAACTGACAGTAATTGACAATTTCTTCAGTGTAGTGATGGTGGATGAGGCCCATGAACGGACACTTTCAACAGACATTTTATTTGGATTGGTTAAGGCAAGTAATGACTTAGATCTCTTTCTTTTTTCATTCCTTGGGAGAATGGATTCTACTTAATGGTTCGGTTATTGACTCAAAACATCAGAATTTTTGCAATGTAATAGACATTAGACATAAATTTGAGTTTCCCTGAACCCCTGTTAGCCTACCATTTGTTTCCAAATCGTCCTGGTTCCATATCTGTCAATTTATTTATGCAATGTCTTCAATATTTGCATATTCGAGGAGTCCTTGTCCAGGAGGAAATTTTGTTTTCCTATTTACGTCTGTCTTGGTACCCTGTGTAGTAATTGTCTACAATCAGTTGTTTCCTGTCTCACTCAGCTGCTTCTCGTGTGGTAGGATATTTCTCGGTTCCGTCCTGACCTCAAATTGCTCATTTCAAGTGCCACCCTTGACGCGGAGAAGTTCAGCGATTATTTTGATTCTGCTCCTATTTTTAAAATACCTGGAAGGCGTTTTCCTGTTGAAATACATTATACTAAGGCACCAGAAGCTGATTACTTGGATGCTGCAATTGTTACTGCTCTGCAGATCCATGTAACACAGCCCCCGGGTGATGGGGATATATTAGTCTTCTTAACTGGGCAAGAGGAGATTGAAACTGCCGAGGAGAGTCTTAAGCATAGGACTAGAGGATTTGGCACCAAAATAGCAGAGCTCATCATATGTCCGATTTATGCAAATTTACCAACAGAGCTGCAGTCAAAAATATTTGAACCCACTCCTGAAGGGGCACGTAAAGTTGTCCTAGCTACAAATATTGCTGAAACATCATTGACAATAGACGGGATCAAGTACGTCATTGATCCAGGGTTTTGTAAGATGAAGTCTTATAATCCTAGGACGGGAATGGAATCGTTGTTAGTTGCTCCAATCTCAAAGGCATCAGCTAATCAGCGAGCAGGTCGATCTGGGAGAACAGGTCCTGGGAAGTGCTTCCGGTTGTTCACTGTATATAATTACTATAATGATTTGGATGACAATACTGTCCCAGAAATACAGAGAACCAACTTAGGTAATGTTGTCCTCACTCTCAAGAGCCTTGGCATTAATGATCTGCTGAACTTTGACTTTATGGATCCCCCTCCATCTGAAGATTTACTGAAGGCTCTGGAAATGCTGTATGCTCTGAGTGCACTTAACAAGAATGGTGAGTTGACAAAAGTGGGTAGAAGGATGGCAGAATTTCCCCTTGATCCCATGCTCTCCAAGATGATTGTGGCTTCTGACAAATACAAGTGCTCTGATGAGATCATATCTATAGCAGCCATGCTATCTGTTGGAAATTCTATCTTCTATCGGCCTAAGGACAAGCAAGTGCATGCTGACAATGCCCGCTTGAATTTTCACATGGGAAATGTTGGAGATCATATCGCATTGCTCAAGGTCAGTCTGTTGCATATCCTCCCGTGCCATTTCTCGTATTCTCTTTTGTTGATGTAGCAGCATGACATGTTCGTACTTGTGCATTTTTCTTGTAATATATGCCTATATATTTCAATGACGAAGAGAACTCCCAAAAAGTGAAATGTGCACTCATTTTTGAAGTGAATTTGTGAAGTGAGTCTGTAAGAAATGCTTTGCCAAACAGTCGTTATTTCTTTTCACTTGGCAATTTCTTTTCGTTTTGATAAGATACACAATTTCAAAATCATTAGTATGTAATCTAATGACATTTACCAAGTGTTTCTTTGAATTAATTGAATTGGGTTATCTTGACCTCCAATTCAAAATAGTGATCCTCTTGTTACTGTTACTGTGTCAGGTTTATAGCTCTTGGAAGGAAACCAACTTTTCAACTCAATGGTGTTATGAGAATTATATCCAAGTACGTTCGGATAATTTAGTTTTACCATCTATGAATGTTTAATTATTAAAGTGTAGATTTATATGCCGTTGCAACTATGATGGTCTTGTACTTCCTGGAGTTGTGGTTGATTAATTCAGAATATCAGATTATATGAGGCTGTTAGCAATGCCTTTGCTTGACTTGGTTTATGTTTGTAGTTTATAAACTTTACAGTGTGAAAATGTGACTTTTTGGAACAATTAAAATTAATAAATAATAAGACATGGAACTTCAGAGGTATGCAATCAGGACTCTGTTCATTCTAATAATTTTATAGAGACCTTTATTATTTAATATTTTGCTTGGTTTATTGCCAAAACAAACTATCAATGGGAAATTTAGAATCCTTAGATGTTAATGCATTTTATACAACAAGCCTTATTCCCAGTAAATATGTCTTCTGGTTTTCTTATTCTAGGTCAGGAGCATGAAGAGAGCTAGAGATATACGGGATCAACTGGAGGGGCTGCTGGAGAGAGTTGAAATTGAGTTGACGTCAAACACCAATGATCTCGATGCAATAAAGAAAGCCATAACATCAGGGTTTTTTCCCCACTCAGCAAGGCTGCAAAAGAGTGGATCATATAAGACTGTTAAACACCCCCAGACTGTTCACATCCACCCCAGCTCTGGTTTAGCACAGGTATAAACATTATATTTAAATCATAATAATATATATGATTTTTTAAATCTGTTTTAGTTGTAACGGAAGATGTTCAGAGATTTTGTATTGATTGCTGGTTTATTGATTCCGATCGTTTCTAAAGATATTTATTGTGTGGTTGTGAAATCATTAGAACTGTCTATTGAACTGAGTCAGCTCATAGCTAGAATTTTTCTCCGTCTCATCTTAGAACTAGCATAGAGTGAGTGCGAGCGATGGCAGTTTGAGGTTATATGAAACCAGAATAAATGTCAAGTCTAAGGTTTTATAAGGCCTATCTTGCTTAAAGTTTGCTATAAAGTTAACAATATGATCCTTAATACACAAATAATACACGCATGTATGAGGTTTCCATTGAAATTTATCTACATGTGGTGTATAGTTATTGCGTTAAATGATAAATTAAGCTAGGGAGCTTGCTATCACAAACCAATAAATAGGCAGTGTTGATGAAATTTTTTCCCTACCTTGATAGGTTCTCCCAAGATGGCTTGTCTACCACGAATTGGTTTTAACGACCAAGGAGTACATGCGACAGGTATTTTTTTTCCACTTCCCCCTTAATTACATCCCTGTTATACTATAATTGCAGGTTTGTTAATCTAGGGTTCATACGAGGAATTTGACATGCAGGTGACAGAACTAAAACCAGATTGGCTGGTGGAAATAGCTCCCCATTATTATCAGTTGAAGGATGTGGAAGATCGTAAGCAATCTCTCTCTCTCTCTCTCTCTCTCTCCCTCCCTCCCTCCCCACCTTCTCTCTCTCTATGTGTGTGTCGCGCGCACGCACGCACACACGTGTGTTTTAATCTGCATATTTGTAGTTTAGATGCAAGTATTGATCATATGATAATTTCATTCTTTATGGCTGTGTTTTAATCTGCATATTTCAGTGGTATGACAATTATTTTATGATAATGCTATTACACCAGAATTGGGATGGGTTCCCCTATATATCTGTCCTTCAATTTTACCCTCGTGTTTTGGATAAGTGCTGAATAATGCCCTATGGTTTTGAAATGAGCAGTTAACTGCCACGTCGTTTGTTAACCTAGCTACTTCTGTGCTCTTATTGATACTTGATCTGCTAACGGTGAACATAAATGATTCAAGTTTCCCACTGTATTTTTAATTTATTGATCCCTAAAGAGTTATCGGGTAGCTAAAATGATAAAACCATGAGGGAAGCAACAGCTACTGCAGTATTTAATAACGGTGTTTGTCACTAAAATCCTGTGGCACTCAGAAAAATAAGAGAAAAAAAAAGGTATATTCCAAATCTCCAATCAGCATTTTGAAGCAACCAAGTGAAACTTTGAAGTACTGCATCGTTAACAAGGAAGCCATCTTTAAGAAGGTTGCCCATCTAGTGGGATCCTGCTCAAACAGTTGCAACACCCCTGATGTTCTTGACTGCCCAAGATAATACCTAGAAAAGTTTTGATTGTATTATCTGATTATGAACTGATAAATAATTGATTTATTTCTTGACTTCTTTGAAATATGCATGGTGATGGTTGTATTACCGCGGAGAGGGAGGGAGGGAGGCTTTATTATTTGATTTGAAGTGGATTAGAGGTACTGGTGTTGAGGTAGAGGACAGGGGAAGCAGGTTGTGATGCGATTTGTCACCATGGGGATGGAGATGGTTGGCGTGAAATGGAGCCGAATTTAATGCCGTCACATATGTTCACAGACCATCAATCAATTATTTTCCCATTTGGTGACATTTAATTCATTTTTGTTGAACATGGATATGCTTTCTATTGCAAGTCTGTTGGCACGAAAAATTTAATTGGCTCAGGCATCTGCATTAGGTCTCATCAAGTATGTATTAGTAACTTGTCAAAGAAAATTTTAAAACCCTGATTATTAACTGTCGTTATATTTTAACTTGGATTTGAAAACATAATTAATATGCATTTATGTTGGACAATTTGGCATAATTTTTCAAACCATACATATTCGTGTTGGTGCTATGACTTACTTCTTAATACTTGTCTTTGCAGTGGCATCGAAGAAAATGCCCCGTGGAGAGGGTCGGGCAACCAAGGATTGAAAATTGTTAATTTCTAATTTTATGACCGAAGCCTGGTGTCATTTATGGCCAATGCACTTGCAGAGAAGGTTGCTTACAATTTGTTTAATTGTTTGATACACTGACGCGAATTCATGAAAGAATACTGTAAATAAAATTTTGTAGGCAAGTTGCTGAGTCTTGGGGGAATCAATTCTTTCAAGATTGTATTCGTATGTGAATATTATAATTATTGGATCCTTAAGACACTGTTAACTATGTCCCCATGTTTTCTTTACTGCGATCGCATGTATTTTGTAATAGAAATTGGGATTTTCTTGTTGTAAGTGAATGAATTGTGCTGTCTGCTTCAATCTTTATTAGTTGATTTACATTTTAACAATTTTCCTGTTGTAAATTCATTGATGGGTTTTATCGTTTTCAGAGCCCCGTGTCCCTCACAAGGTTCCGTTAATTGACGTGAGGAAAGTTTTCTAAAGAGGCTAAGTTAGAGGGGAAAAGTGAAAATAGCCTCCTGAAGGGTTAAATGCACTGTAGATCATTCAACTTTCAGTGGAGATACATCTAGGTCATTCATTTTCAATTTGGTTCAATCAAGTCAACCCAACTTTGATTTTCTTGCAAATCTGCAAGCTGACATGACATGAGTAAATCTATGTTTGGCTGGAACCTAGGCACGTATCATTATTCTTAATCCACTAGGATCCATTTGTTCGAATTGAGTGGGTCTTGTCTGACTGCTGAATAAATGGATCCTCGAGTTTGACCCGATACTCTACTTCAAAACCCATTTGGGACTTCATTTACTGCGTCTTTATGAAGAAAGGAACAGAGGAGAAAAAAAGAGTATGGATTATGGATCTGTATAGAAAGAGAATTGATGAAGATGATTGAACTGGGAGTCAGACGATTGGGTAATTAATCCTCGCTTATCGTAATCTGATTGCTTTACTAGGATAAAAGATGTCTTTCAATTATTTTCAAGGACTGCACATTTAGAAAGACAACAGACCGGAGAAGAAACTATAGGTCCATATAAGACCTATGATTTATCCCAATACCTTGGTCGACAGCTAAGTTGAATGAACGAAGTTGGGTTTTTCTTGTTCCTAGGTAATTTCAGTCTAAAAACAGTCTTAGTTCTTTAAATACTAAAGAAGACTTGAGCATTTGAAACTAGAATAAGTCGCTGTAATTTAGTCTGAAATCAAAATCAAAGGATTAATCATGAATACTAGGGAAATTCTGCAAAACTCTCGTGTTATTAATTAAAATATTTATAACGCAAATCTAATTATCTAGCCAAATCATAGGTATTGGTTGACAAGGTTACACAACCTTGCAAATTACTCTTCCGCCACTGTCAATGTACAAGGAAGATCAGGATCCTAAATCTCCAGGTTGTCCAAAACTGTGTAAAATTAACATGGATACTGGTTGCTACTTTCTAGTTTAAGCCCTGTCCATCCCAAGATCCAGCACCAAAAACTTCTTCAATCATATTACATGTGGGCAAGAGTTCAACTTCATTTCTTGGGCAAGGGAGGTAACCAAACTCCCATTCTCTAGCATTGCAGGCCTCCATCATGAATTCATGGCCACCGATCCCATTTGCTCCACTTAAGTGACCTGTACATTGTTTATGACTATCAGCTTTCTCCATGGTCACTTGTGAACCAAACCCAGCACCACTGGACGTACACGTGCCTTCTTGGGCATCAAGACCTTCTGTATCGAGAGAAAGATTTCCATCTGAAGGCCGCACAGTAGGATCCAAACTACATTTGACCTCTAACTTACAAGTACATGCCTCTGGCACATAGATATTATCACCACCAAAAGCCACAGCTCTCGCATCTACTGGAGCACTCTGCACAACATCCTCATCATATGCACTTGTATTTATATCTAAGATTTCTTTATGATCAGGAACTATTGGTGATTCAGCCACGGAGTCGTCATCTTCACCATTTTGAACTTCATTATCAGTAGAATCTTCAGTTCCCACCCATTCATCATCATCACTATCAATATTTAATGGGGCAAACCTATTCTGCTCGGCTCGTCTTCGTAGCATATATACATTAAAATAATAGCTGACAATTTCTCTCTTTGACCGGGAAGGAAATACAACAGCAAGATCATTCCAGTAGTTCTTTCCCAATGATGTGGGATTAGAAAATATAACCTTGTGAAACAATTTCTCTTCCTCTTCGCTCCATTTCTCCGCCACTCCCTCTCCCACATCACAGAAACCCAACTCAGTAAATGTCTCAGGTCCAAAGGTTCCCCTAAGTTTCTCTCTAGCTTCTGTAATGTGTTGTTGAACACATCTGATGGAACCCTCATCTTCACAAATACAACCTTTTCTTCCAACCCCAACCACCCCAGTGTCTGCAAGTTGTTCTGAATCTGACATTGGAACAACACAAGTTCCAGCTAATCTCTCCTCATCGGATTCCAGAGCCAGATTTGGCGCTGCTTCAGTATGTTCTGAGAGACTGGGTGCCTTCTTGCAAAAATGTGCACGCCATTCCGGTATATCTGCTTGATGACATCGTCCAACAGGGACAAGTTTCCGAGGAGGATGATCCAAAAGAAGAGAGAATATCTCCCCAGGATGCACAATGGTCCTCGGTTGACGCTCAAAAATATGGTCAGGAGACAACATTATATGAAATTGTGTTTCCGGTCTGATATCTTCTTCACTGATACTTCCAGCAAACAGGGAAGAGCTGGGAAAAGAACCAAGGACACTGGTTTCCACATCTTTCTTGGTGCGAAATTGAATTTCAGTAATATGAGCAATATCAAGCTTCTCACCACCTTCTGCCTTGGTTTTTGTGGAACCATTGCCACCTTCACCTGTCATGTACTTGGAGCAGTCAATAAGTATTATGCGACACAACAAGCCATTGTAGTAATTAAACACTTGGATGTCCATGCAACACAAGGAGGAATGATGGAAGTAGAAGAATCATATGTGAACCAGGACAAGCCATTAGATATTTCATTATAAAAAATCTCAGGACATTGAAATAAGATCAAAAGAACCTTATAATAACTGGCTAAGATTCCCTACAGAAACATCCAAGTTGTAATAACTTGGAGAGATGCATTCATCTAGGATCCTGTAGAGTACCTTGAATTCTCAATAAAACCTAGTTACATCACATACTTTGTCTCAACCAAACTCTTTTCAGTCAGGTGCATTCAAATCATCCAGTTACGGTTAGGAAAACGGCTCAGTATTTATGGAGAGATACACACAAGCACACATAAGATGGGTATCACTAAATATAGTGAATTTCCGTAGTTAACACGACAAATTCTTAGGTCAAACATTTGTTCTAGGACATTCGTAAGCCCCTTTCACACCTGAAGTATAATAACTCTGGACGACAGGTTCAGGAGGAAAATCCAAAGCTGAAACAAGCCTACTATCGTGCTCCATTTGCCTTGGTTGTTTAGATGAAACGTCGTTTGACTCATCTTCATCAAAAGGCCGTTTTTGGACCATGTTTAACTGTAAAAGTAAGATAAAAGAGAGGTTTAAAAAATTTATGAAAAGAAGAATTAGGCAAAGGTTACACAAAACTGAAAATATAAAAATGTAAAACCATACGTAAGAAAAAATAATACAATCCAAGAAAAAAGAAAAGAAAAAGGGAAGCGAAAATGAAACAGTGAACAGAATCATCTTTGTAGTGTCAGAAAAAATTCACCCAACGGGGGCAACCTATGTACTTCACTCTTTAATATTTTCACTTAATAAAAAAAGACAAATCTTTCTTCAACTGAAGAGTCCACATCATTGAAATCTTAATATTTTCAGAAGAAAATCCCATGGGATACTCAACTGGTGAAGGAAGGGAAACAGAATGAGATTCCATATCTATTGAGAATGCAAGAAGACCTTTTTAAATTCTACAAGTCCCAAAAATCATAAGTTACACCATTCATTATCTGCCAAAAAGTTACAGCATTCATTAGTCGTATTATAGTCCCGTATTATAGTCCCCAAACATTATAGCCTCGCACAGACGACACGACGTAGCAGGTCCCACATACATATGCACAAGGATAATAACGCACAAAAGGGCATGACTAAAGTATATTGCGTGATGTTGACAACTCTCAACTCCAATGACAACTGATAGTGGTTGACCCTTACCCATCTTTGCTTCTCTGTTACATAATACTAGTCAAAACTTATACAAGGAATACACTACTAATATGAAGCAACCCGCAAATATTTTTGGTCACTCCTGTTCTTAACAGAGGAGGCAGTAATTCCTTCATTGCGAGTTTAGGTAGAGGCCTACAAATCGGTTTTGACAGTGCAAAAAAGGAAAAAGATTAAAAAAAAAAAAAAGTTTACTAAAATGGCATAACACGTGGCAAAGGAATGCTGTTAGACCTGACAATGGGCCCACATTTATTAACTATCCCGAACAATAAAATTTCTGGCCCTCAAATCAGAATTTTTTTCCTTCATAATACTTCAGCAACTTTTCTATTTAACAACTGAAATTATACGAAAAATTCAGTACGCTGATGCGTACAAAATAACACTTATAATAGTTGGAAAAAATTCTCAATACCTCAAAAATAGAAGTAATCTTCAACTCAAATGGAACGGTAGATCTCGATGTTGCCGGTCGATTTTCAATCAACTAAGATACAATAACTTAGTTCCCAAGATTGAATTTTTTTGTTTCCCCAATATAAAAAAAATTTAAAAAACTTATAAATATGACGAAACCCTAGATCCCCAATTTTTGCACACACTCACCAATCTAAACACTTTTTAGATAAAAAAATATTTTTTTAAAATATAATAATAACTTTAAACGAACCCAAAAATTACAACATGGAAAGAGGTAAAATATTATTTACAATTTCCCAAAACGGACAAGGAATTGGAAGGAAGACATAAAAAACCCAGATATAAAACCAGTCAATTTACAAAAATTACAGCTGAATTCACAGAGATCTGGCCACAATCAAACACGAATCAAACCCTAACCCTAGGTCAAGATTGCCTCAACAGCTAGAAGCAGAAGAGGTATCAATCGAAAGAGAAAAAATCGAATCGTAAGAATCGAAGGTTAATTTGAGAATCGAGAGCAGAAACCAACGTCTAATTAGGGCTAGAAGAGAAAGGGCTGAAAAGGGGGAAATCTGTTGACTTTTATTATCATTAATAAAAATAAAAGGATAAAGATACGTTTAGGAACAACGTTACAAGTGAAGGATATGAATATAAACTTCCGAAAATGGGTTTGTAATTTAAGAGAATTACGATAAATACCTTCATTTGTAGTTTCATTAAAAATAGGTTTGGGTCAAATTTTGAATTTCCCATCACTGTATCTGTGGGCTACAAACTGTGGTTGCAAACTTGCAATTTGCAAAGTGGAGAGGGTGGGATTTGCATTGCGTCACCTACAGGGGAACAGATTGGACTACGTGTGACACGTGGCACACCCTCAAAATACTATTTTTGTCATTTTCCAATATTTAGATCATATTCTACAAAATCAAGGAAAATAATTTGCTTGTTTCGTTTTCTAGGACAGAAGCGTTTTTAATGTTTGGGACATTTTGATGGGATCGATGATTCGGCGTCGCTACTCTCTTCATTTCTATAGTGCAAATAAAAAACAACTGATCCAAAGAAAATGAAGAAAGTAAGTCATAGATCCTATCGACAAAGTTAACGTTAAATCTAGAAACAAAATTTTGATTAAGTAATTGTACTTTAATTCAGATGACTACACTTCAATTTGATTTTAATCGGATTATTCCGTCCGATTTCGATACCCAAAATGACATAAAACCAATGAACATGTAGTTAATGAATAAAGTAAGTCATTTCATTTCAATAATTTTTTACATATTTCACGTTGCCAACTAATGATTTCATGTGATGATCATCGTTTATGACTATCAAATCGTTGATTTATATCAATAGAATTGGACAAAGCAAATTGACTAAATTAAAATGTATTTATCCAACTATGGTTACCCGATTAAATAAGATAGAGGATTCTTGCGTCAATTTGCATAGCAAATATGAATTACGTTTGACCCCAAAATAAATAAATAAATAAATAAATAAAAATGAAGAAGTGAAATTTTCTCTCGAGCATGTTAGCGACTCTGCATACAAAAATGTTGGCAGTGTCGCAGCATACTTGTTAAGGGTAAGGACCTGAGTTCCAAGTCAGTAAACTAATTTCTCTAACTTGCTCAAACTAAACCAATTAAAACTAAGTGGCTTCCTCACCTTCCCTGTCGGACAGCGGGCTGGGTGGTATGATGGATTCTCTCTTCCTCCGTGTACCAGAGAAGGCGGGGGACTCTCCTCCATTGTAACTCAACACAGACGTCGGCGAGTTGTAAGGAGGAAGGAATGGTAGAAAATATAAGAAAAGAAAGGGAGCAGAATTTCAGCATCTCCATATGGTATTTATAGATGGATAGTACTCACCCTAGCTGTAAGAAGAGTAGGGCATGTGGCCAATAAGGGAGAGGGCAGTTTTAAAAGTACTCACCTGGTCGAGATCGAGACTTGTTGATGCCCAAGCTGGGCCGTCAGGGACCTCTTGATTCCTCGTTATTGGGCAATGTGCTCGGACCATGTTCTATCCGGTGGCATATCACCCTTAAGCTATGGACTTGGCTATCTGTTTGATCGCTCATCGAACAATACCTTGCCACGTGCACTAAAAACAGACTCCGATTGTTACGGGAGGTTTTAGTAAACCACATCCAGGATTAGTCACCACAATGCAGAGTCTCCAATTAGAACTATCCATGATAAAATTCAACAAAGCTAAGAATAAGAAGACGTGCAACAGAGTAATTTAATTGTCTGACTGAATTAAGTACGAAACAAGTCTATTACAATACTCTACTGACACCTTCAACTGGTTCCTACCAAAAACTCAAAATTTCAACAAGAAAGGCAACTATTCATTTCTTTAAATTTAGAAAGGTTAAAAACTTCAACCATGTATCTTCTATTCCACTTAATTAAAATATGCCATGTTTTAAACTTTTTGCATGAAGATTTTGACAATGCATATTAGTTATAGTAACATTGAAGTTGTTGTTCCTTGTTACTTCACCCTTTTACTAAAGAATGATTGTTACCTCATATTGTCAATGGAGATTATGTCTTGTTAGGTAATATGTTTTCATTGTGCACAGTTACAGCTAATTGTTGAATTTCAAATGTGAAGTTTTTTGGGATAAGATTGTGCAACAAGAAACAAGTTCATTTATTCTTTGAAAGGTTACTTCCTTAAAAACCAATAACCTTATTTCATAGTATTCTTCAACTGGTTTTATAACTAATTGGTAAATTTCAATTAATATTTACCACCCAATATTTTTCATTTATACATATAAGTGTATATCGGTTAATTTTCCATTATTAATTTCTTGGAAATATGACTGTATTTGTGTGTTCTCGACTTGGAAAATCTTTCATGGTTGATTTTTATACACCTTTCATATGGAAAAACTATTGTAAATATTTACTCAAGTATAATGTGTGAACGTGAGTATTTGCCTTATTATTTAATATCACCTCACATGAAGACCATCTCGAGATCGTCCATAACATTAATTAATCTTTCAAGTTAAAGATTTTCAATGTCATTAATACTATTTATTTTATTTTCAAGTTTTTCTCTCAAACGATTTGACAGAGCGGGCACTTGTGCTAAATGGGATATTGCAGGTAAGTCGATCAAACTCCAAATATAATCTTATTATTAATCAAGATTTCATAATCTAGAGAATACTTATAAACGAACTCAACACACCAAGTTGAGATCTTTATTAGAGAAGTACATGCGTCTTGCGAAGGACCTTAACCTCCTGACTAGGAATTCCAAGCAAGAGAAGATCAGCAAGTTCCACATGTCAATGCAAGAAAATACACAAAATTTAACAATGGTTCCTATTCCGAAATATTTCTACCTAAATATGTTTTCCACCTCACCTAAATGCCCAGCGATGGATTGAAGTGCTTCCTTCATAACGACGAATGCCAATTTCACGTACCAAGGTCAGCTCTATCTGTCCTCTTTTTCTGCTTGACATCTGTCCTCAGTTATTCCTCGAACAAATTGTCCTCTAATTCGTGGCCTTTCTTCTGCTAGCCTTTTCCTTCCGTGATACTCGAACCTGGAAGGCAGAACAAAGTGCAAGAAATAAGTTCTGCTGCTTTGTCCGTAAACATATGATTTATCAATAATAAAAGCGAAAATTAAAGGACATTTGAACACGACTACGGTCTATACATGATGTTAATTGCAATGATACATGCATCTCTGCATGTGCGTGATTGATGAAGTCCATGGACCTAAATCATGAATGTAAAACATGCTTCCATGCCTTCACAATATACGTTGTATCTCAGT